TGGCTTATTTGAACGATTACTCATGTTCACATCTGGGGGGAAGGGGTTTTATAGTAATTCACAATTGTGCCTATGCAAAAAGAGAAAAAGAAAGAAAAGAAATGAGACATGCAATCTGGCCCAAAATGCTTCCAAAACAAAGGCATCTCATCAGCCATTTATAAAATGTAAAATATAGAAAGAAAAAGTAAGTTAAAATTTTCTTCCAAATAAAGATTTCTATTTCTTTCTTCACCAAACAACTTCTTCAATAGCTTCTCCTTAGGAGTTAGAAGGCAAATGGATTTAATACACTTATCTCAATGCTGGGGGTGGCTATGGCTATTAAATTTGACTAAGAGAATTTTATTTTACTTGTTCATTTTTTAGGGCTTACTAATATTTGCAGATTTCTTCATAAAGGAAAGAATGTAAGATTATAAAGGAATGAAAAAGCAAGAATGATAGTTTTGATAATGATTCATGATAGTAGTTTACTCCCAGGGTTTTTGTCTCTGCATTCATAATCATGTACACTGGCAATATGAAGCATCCACTCTCACATAGAGAAGTAATTTTTTTTAGAAACTGTGGAGAAGGATGGCCTATCCTTCTCAACTGGCAAAGAGGCTATTAAATGTCCCCCCGTGAGAGTTGCACATATCCCCCACATTTCCACATTTGGAAGAATATTTAAGATGCATCATTTTTGCTGGGCATATAATTTTTAATTAAATTTCCATGCATGCTATTTTATATTGTTGTTATTTTGCTAACAGTGTTAACCTGGAGAACTTACTCGAGCAAAAAAGCAAGACAATCAATCAATCAATCAATCAATCAATTAATCTTCTTGCTCAAGTAAGTCCTCCAGCAAAATAACCAAAAATTAATTAATTAAGTGATCATTTAAGTGATGATTTAACAGGAGTAGATATTTAAAAAATCAGGCATCGTCTCTGGTCTGTTGGAATACTTGGAATCTCTTTTACTGTTTTTCATGAGCAATTGCTCAATTGTCAATTGCTTTAACTGCTGATAGCACTACCTGAACCATGGTCCTGCTACTAGAATGATGAGAACTGAAGTCAGTATATCAACCTTGCATATTTTTGCATACTGTACTATATGCATTTGGTTGTTCAGTTTGTGAACTAGCTAGTGCTTGAGTTGACAGAGGATTTATGGTAACGACTTCACACTAAAAGGCAAAAGAGGATAGGATAAATCCATAGTAGTGATACACAGATATATGTAAGGATTAGGTGTGTGTATATGGCATAAAAAAAATATTGTTATTATTTTCTAACCATTACTATTTTTCCTATTATTTATCGGTACACTTTCTTCTGGAGGAACTCAGAATGATTGCATAAAACAAAAACTAAAAATAATGTTTAGTATTCTTGAAAGACTTTCAAAACCCAACATTAAAACAAGGTTCATTTAAAAACCCCAAGTATATAGTTCTGATATAGATGCCAAGTACTTACAGCATCTATGTCAGGATTGGATGCAACTCTGATTAGCAGGCAAGGTCATCAATTTGTGCTTTCAAATGTTTTTGCTTCTCCAGCTAATTAACTTCCTTTGTTTGTAGAAGGATGTGCCTTACTAAGACAGTGTAACACAGCCATGAACTTTTGCTGGATGGAGGAATGAAGCTTATGTATGGGTGGGAGGCAGGAGAGTGGGAGGGATGCCCGCCAATCTGCATCCTTCTCTATCTTTTGCAACCCTGGAAACTTTTTCCCCAGTTCCTTCTGCCAGTCCTTTATCCAAAAAGGAGACCATTGCGTGGGAGAACAAGCAATGATCTCATAGTGACTTGATGGGCAAGATAAAATCCCACAGCCTTCTTTGATGATTCTATTGAAGCATATGGGAAAAAAGAGAAGCAGAGATCTTGAGCGATAAGCCTCTTCACCACCCATGCTTCAAGAGAGTCTAGGGCTGACTTTGGAGGGATTCTCCTAGATTTTAGTTACAACTTAGGGAAATCATCTCATGATCGAAACAAGATGACACTCAGCAATCAAGTAAAGTTGCCGTATCTTCACCTCCGCAGTTAACTAACACGCGTTCTTGAAGAAGCAAAACAGAAGGAGGTGGCACAACCACTTTTGCAAGCCAACTCTGCCCCATCTAAGTGACAGCTCCATAGCTATCAAAAAGCTAGCCAGGGTGGATGATTGTTACATCCCTGAAGAAGTCCCTCAGACATCTCAAGCAGCAAGCAAAATCAGAAAGATTTTGGAAAGGAGGAACAACAAGGTTATTTTTTAAGCTATTAACTCAGGCATTCTGGCAAGTACTTTTTTATTTGAGAAAACTTTATATAGTAGAAGCAAATCAAAGCAATTGTATTCTTCTTCTCCCCCACCCCATCCTTTTTTTAAAAAAAAGACATATGGAAAGAGGCCTCCCATATGGTTTCCTAAGCAGGTACAAATTTTGCAAATTCACATGAAGTCGAATTCTTTTTATTAGCTGTACCTGCAGCTTAGTATAAAAAGTAAAATCTCCTTCAAAGCTTGACTCTGACAACTTCATGCACAAATCCATGTGCCCTTCTTCACCAAAAGGTCAAGAGGTTGTCATTGTTTTCTTCCACAATGTTTCTTTATCCTCCCAGTCCCCCTGCTGTGCTTTTAAGCCCATTTACTAAATCTAAACAAGCAAATCCATCATTGTTTTTTTAAACAAACCCTGGCACACGTGATTGTGATTAATCAGTGACTCAGATGAAGATTTTTCATACATGCTCAAAAAACTCTTTCTTATTAAGATATATCTCAGTGCATTCAGAACTCATTGCAAAGCTGAAGCTAATAACATACAAGTAGACTTTGACTTATGACAGTTCATTTAAATCAAATCAAATCAAATCAATCAAACGTTTATTGTCAACGCACAACATATGTACAATGAAATTGAAATGAGCCTCCTTGGTGCTGGGCTGGCCCTGCAAGTCTATATTAAACCTAATTGTGGTGTTTATCAGTGGTGGAATTCAAATTTTTTTACTACCGGTTCTGTGGGCGTGGCTTGGTGGGCGTGGCAGGGGAAGGATACTGTAAAATCTCCAGTCAGAGGTGGGATTTGCCGCTTTTCCGAACTACTCAAAATTTCCACTACCGGTTCTCCAGAACTGGTCAGAACCTGCTGCATACCACCTCTGATGTTTATGTTGTGTTCAGAAGTCTAGCAGCCCATGAATAAAAGTTATTTTTCAGCCTATTCGTTCGGCTGGCTATGCTTCTATATCTCCAGCCTGATGGTAAAGAAGTGCTGACCAGGGTGTGAATCATCCCTGAGGATTTTCCTCACTCTACTGAGGCAGTGAGTCCTGGTGATTTCATCCAATGGTATCAGGGGACAGCCCATAATTTTTTGTGCTGTGCTCATCACCTTCTGTAATGCCTTTCTGTCTGTAGCTGTCAATCCAGCATACCCTACCATATACAATATGTAAGGACACTTTCTATCGTAAACTGGTAAAAGGAAATCATCAGTCGTTCCACCTGATATTTCTGCAAGACCCTAAGGAAATGGAGTCTCTGTTGAGCCTTCCTGACCACCTGGATTGTATTATTTTATCAGGTGAGATCTTGGCTAACGTTGGACTCCCAGAAATTTGAAAGAGGAGGCCTTTCTCCACACAGCCTCCCTTGATGTAGAGTGGGGCAAGTTCCCCTCTCTGCTTCCGGGAGTCTAACACTATCTCCTTTGTCTTGCTGATGTTTAGTGACTGTTCAAAGTTACAATGGCACCGAAAAAAGTGGCATGACCATTTCCCACACTTATGACCATTGCAGCATCCTCCTGGTCATGTGATTAAAATTCAGATGCTTGGCAACTGATTCATAGTCATATTTATGACTTTGCAGTGTCCCCTGTTTGTGAGCTTCTGACAAGCGAAGTCAGTGGGGAAGTCAGATGCATTTCACAACTGTATTACTAACTTAACAATTGCAGTGATTCATTTAACAACCGTGGCAAGAAAGGTTGTAAAATAGGGCAAAGCTCACTTAACAACTGCCTTGCTTAGCAACAGAAATGTTGGGCTCAATTGTGGTCATAAGTCAAGGACTACATGTATAACATAAGGGATGGGGAGGAAGATGCAGTCAGTAAGTTCAGTGTGGATCACCCTCCCAATAATGATTGTAGTCAATAGCACTGAACTTTGAACTGTGCTCCCCTCTGAATTAAAGGAAAACCTGAATTCTGGGGGGAGATAGCTGGATTTGATCCTTGCTCCAATAAACTTATTTGCTAGATTCATTGCTGGGTTTCTTATTTATTTTAGAGATACCGTATGCCAGTTGAGATCCATCAAACACAGCGTGGATAGTATTTCTCTGCATTTGGTCTCTGTGTTTAGTGCTCAGGAAAGCTCATTCACCTAAAGGGCTATAGGCTGAGTGACCCCACAATAATTAGCATGTTTTCCTACCTACCCAAACCAATTTATCTTGCCAATAACAGTAACACTTACCACAAATCAGGATGTGCCAACTAACATTTTCAACCATCTCCAGTTAAATTTGGCCAAAGAGGCTGGCATTTAGTCAATTTTCTGCTGTGAGAATATCAAGGGATAGCATTCTTTTTGCATCGCAGAGAAGACAGAGGAAGAAAAAAAAGGACTTCCCATTTCCCCATGAGATTTTATTTAAAACATAAATTTAATGATACAAATAATTTTCAAAGACACTTAAGCGAAAACTGTCGTTCTTTGGGGGAACTTTCTTCATGTTGTGTTGAAGTTGCCTCTCAAGAAAATGCATTTCAACTTTGTCCCTCTGTTGTTAATATAGAAGGGAAAGTTCTAGAAATATATAAACCCAGCAAATAAAATAGGGCAAATCCTGTAAATATCTTAGCCAGAACACAATATGTCTTCTCTTTTCCTACACTGTGGTGTTTCAGAGGTGAGAGGACAGTAAAAATAACTCATCAAGAGAAGAATATAGTGATATTGTACAGGTGTGCTTGTGAAGAAAGAAAGAAAAAGAAAGAAAGAAAGAAAGAAAGAAAGAAAGAAAGAAAGAAAGAAAGAAATCTATGGGAGAATTTGAGGGGATCATATAGTTGCCAGCTAACTGTTGGGAGGATTCTTGCAAATAATCCTGAATAAAATTTGGTCTAGTTTATCTAAGTGAATTTTATATTCACAAAAGCATATATTTCCCCCATTGGTAGAAAATGGGCTAGAAAAAGAATAACAGCTATTACTCAGATTAGTTATGTTTAAACAGTTAAGAAATGTTTCCTTCTTCATAGATTCAAGACATATTGAAGGACCTTTTTAAAAAGGTCACAAAAAGGTCACCAGCCCATTTCTTGGTTCAGAACTATTGCTGAGATAAGCAGTTTTAAAGTGGAGCCTTATTTCAAACCAAGAAGGGATAAAACACACTGCTGATGCACAAAAGGTGCATTTGATAAGCGAGTCCTTGGAACGAAAATTGTGAGGACAATAGGATTTAACCTTTGGGAGGACGTTCCTTCAAAATGGTCTTTCTACAATGTCCAAGATTTATCACATATGGAAAATATCACAGGCTTGATCTTGTAGAGGGAAGTTAAAATATAACCAAAGTGAATGTCTAAATGAAAAGGGCACGATCAGTTCTCCCATCTGGTGGCAACTGCAGTCAGTAAGACCCTAATTTTCACTAGCAACAGATTGGAGTTCTGTCAGCTTTCCAAATATGAAGTCAATAACAATGTTTCCTGCTGATGATGGACCAATTCAATGAGCCAAGTGATGACCATAGTGGAGCTGATGGTGGAGAAATTCTTGGGATAGATTTATAGCCACGCAGTCAGGGTGAAACATCTACTCACACATCCACAGTGCTTTCATAAATGACTTGTGTAAATACTTAGTTGTAAGGAGGAGCAGGTACAGATTGTTTCTGGGGTCAGAGATACTCATCTGGGTTACAGTGCATTTCTTGCAGAGTGGGTAGGAAAGAAAATAGTCATGGCGCTGGTTATTTACATATTGGGGTGGGTGGGTAGCAAGTTGGATTACTCCAGTCGCATTCGAATTGGCATAAGCAGTTGACGAAGGGGTATAATAAAATGGCAAAACTCTGAGGACTTTCTGAATTAAGAAATAAACAAATCAACTTTCACACATATAAGTATTGATCCCAGGATCCTGAATGTGAGCCTATATTTTTTCCCCCTCTTTTTTTTTTTTTGTATAGTCAGCAATTGTTTTCTCCCCGGCTTTCCACATCCCATCCTGGCCCTTCAAAAGGATCCCTTCACAGAAAACAGTTTTGCCCCTTCCTCACCAGCTCTTCCATTATTTATATGAATTACCCCACTGTTACTTTCTCTCTGCTCTGATAACCGGGGAGGGGTCTCAATTCCCACCCCCCCAGGGACCATTTTCAAGGGGTGTAAACTGTTAATGGAGCTATGGCAAAAGGCTATCCTTGTTTTAGGAGACTCTTCTCCCTCCCTGTGTTTCCCAAAGTCTCTGTACATAAAAGTGTGTGTGTGCATGCACAGGCTACAAGGCTGTTTACACCAGAGCGGAGACCACACCTGGGGAACCATGTGGGATGGGGGAAGCCTGTGGAGGAAAACTTGTTGGAGATCCTAAAAAATGAGGATTGGCTCCAAAGGGGAGCAGGTGTCCTGGTAGCATCATGGGGCTGAGAGGATAGAGGGCAGCAGCTTCTTCCCCCATCAAGGAAGAGGGCATCATTTCCAAGGGGGTGTTTGCGGGGATTGTGGTTTCCCCAGAATTTCCTTTGCGCTTTTTGGATTTGGTGGAGGAGACCTTGCGGTTCCGTGTTTGAATCCCGTCCTTGCGCATTGCCAAGGGACGATTCACCTGTATGGTACCAATAAGAGAAAAAGTGAAGGTGAGATTAAGATCTCAGAGACAATTCATCTGGTGATAAGTATATTACATTATTGTAATACATTTTAAAACAATACAATTACATTATGATAAGACATTATTCTGTCAGCCTAAAACTAAGGTCATACCTCTGGTCTGCTAAATGGTTGGTGGTATGAGCAAAACAGGATGGAACAACATGACATAGAAGGACAATAAGCACCCAGATCTTTTCCCTGAGCTATTCAAGGATGGCTTATATATTAAATGCCCCTAAACCTGTGGGACCTTTTCCAATATATTCCTGGAAGCAACCAACTCCCACTCACCCACTCAAGTACCTCTCTCTTTCATGTACATATACTGTCCTCCACTCTCTTCCTATTGTCTTACATTGTGCAGTTTGTAATAGAGGCCACAGGCATTGCATACGGGTTCTCCATTCATGTTACGGCGCCAAAGAGTTGTGGTAGTCGTTTGGCAATTACTACACTGGGTTCCAGCTCGCTTGCTGACAATCTGCATCATGGAACAAGGAGGAGAAATAGATACTCACATTATCAATTTTGGAAATGATACCCAGGGTCCATTGTGTTTCCTTAGAGCAACATTTCTTAAATTGTGGTCCAAGGACTCCTGGGGACTCCCCAAGACTCTCTCAGAGGTTCGTGAAATTAAAATTATTTGCTAAATATTAAAGACATTTGCAAGAATTTTAAATAATTTTAAATAATGGCACTTTTTTCTTGATTGTTTTTATTTTAAAAACATATAGGCTTTTTCATGCAAATGTATTTATTTATATTTGACACTTCTCAACCACCTATCCCCCTCAAAGAGTTTATATTAACAAATGGGTTTAATTATTATTAATTAATTTTAATACTTTATATCTGAAAAGAGCAATTGTTATAAATATTGAATCATTTATATGTTTCTTTTTTCTTTTGATGGCTTCCTTCAACTTCAATATTTTTTCCCCTACTCTGATGTTTAAAATAGTAAGATCTAAAAGTTTGGAATATGTTTTGTAGCAAAACTATTGCCAGGGGGAATCTAGTCAGTTGCATAGGTACCCAACAAATCACAATAGCTGAGATGTAATGGGTGGCCAGATCCCATCCCATCCTCAACTTTAATTACAGTCTCAGTTGCTGTAATTAATAGTAGTACAATCTGAGTTATGTTATTAAAGAGATACAGTAAGCTTAACCAGGGAATTAGATGTAAATAATGGCGATATACGTATATTTGAATTGTAAACCACTCAGAGTCATTGATTGAGATGGGCAGCTATAGAATTTAATAAATAAATACATAAATGTTTGCACATGTCTGTGAAAGCAAAAGACTGGCCACTAGATGACACTGAACTTTATTATATCTGCTGAGGTCAGAAATTTCCTGTTCCTGTTCTGTTCCTTTGTAATAGAGATAATAAAAATTCTTGTCTCACTTCCTGATTTATTTGTCCCCAAACCATCCATGACTTGCTGTTAGATGTCAGGTTTTTAAACCCACAGATTCCTAACGAGATGAGAAAAGTGACAGCGTTCTTTGTACTAAAAGTCTTAATTTCTAATAATACAACAGGGAGGATAAGAATTGGGTGGGAAGGAAGACCTCTTATGCCTAGCTAAGATCTCAAGGAGAAGCCAATAGTACAATTAGATTTGCTCATTTACATATGTTATTGGTAAGAAAGCCAGGAATGTCTATAATGCCTTTCTCCTTCCAAAGAGAGGCATAATAAAGCAAACTTTGTGATTATTCTCGGCCAGGCTGATACGAAATATATCTCCAAGAAGAGTCATTGAGATTTTCTTCAGTTGGTTGGAAGAAAACCTTGGCAGATCATGGAAACTACAGAACACCCTTTCCACACTGAACTCAGAATATTTAATTTTTAAAAAAATCTAAATTACCTACAAAGATTTCTGCTGGTTGAAGCCAAAGTCCCAAGTAGGCCACATGATGGTTCCTTAATCCATTAGGGGAAATTCACAGTAGTGCTGGTAAAGTATATTTCTCAACTAGTATTTGAAAGCCCAGTTCTGTGTTGGTTGTCAAAGATCTTCCAGATCAAATTCATCAGCTGATTATTACCTATAAAGCTTCTGCAATGTGGTATCAGAGGACTAGCCATAACTTGCTCATCTTGTAAGAGCATCAAGAAAGGTTGGCTCATCATGATGAAAGGTGAAAGGGACATGTAGAAGAAATTAGCCATGTCTTTCCTATGGTTACCAACACAGGTGAATGCTGCCCTGTAAAAGCAGGATACTTCACTCCTGAGACCAGACGATTCTCTGTTTCAAGCAGACATTTATTCTGAGTTGAGGATGGATGGGCAACCATTTTTAACTTGGTCTGGAGGTGCCAGGTTTTGCTGCAACCATCTACTGTCAAACTCACATCATTACAGCAGCGTCACATGATGTATCAGGATTTTTTTTCCCCCTTCGTTAAACCGGGTGTGGCTGTCATGTGATGCATCTGGTCTGCAGGCTGGGAGTTTGACAGATCTGATCTACTGTATTTAAAAGAGCATCTTTTTTAACAAGCATAATTAAGACACTGTTTAACTAAGCAAAGAGTTGCAATGTTGAGATGGAATTCTTAAGAAGGTGAGCAGGATGCACTTGCTGGAAAGCAAGTGTTGACTTACCAGGCGTTTCTTGGGCCGAATGAGGGGCCGGTTCTGACCATTCATCTTGTGATAGAGCCCACAGGCATTGCAAAGATAGTGCCCAGTGCCATCTCTCCTCCACAGTGGGGTGGCTGTAGCTCCACAATTCACACACTCACGTGCCTCTGCAGAAAGAGGTGGAAATAGACATTCAAGGAGCAGACAACATGATAATTCAAGTGGGAGGATACCATGTGTTTTTTCGCTTCTAGGAAAGACTGTCATTCTTGTTGAAACAATGTTGTGTTGGAGAAGGACCTTTTGGGAGAGGGCAAGAAACTATTAGGACCCATTTTGTACAATGAGCTATCAAATCAGGAAGAAGATTCTGCTTTGAATATACAGTACAAAGCTTAAATAACTCAGAACTAGAAGACCTGTCAGATTGCCCCTGCTGTAGAGACCTGTTCAATCATGAAAACCTTCAAAAGACATCCTGCTGCATTTGACAGGCATCATCTTGCCTTTAGCTGCAGAAGGACCTTCTCTGGAATGGCATCTGCTCTTAATGTTGCAATATTCATGAAGCATGTCTACTACAGGAGAACAAGAAAGGTCTGGTCTCACGAGATTCCGAATGGGAGAAATTGCATTGTGAAGCTCTTGGGCAATGCTATGGATTTAAGAGATTTAATTTCAAAAAGATTGGAGTGGGCAAGGTTATAATGGTAACAGCTGTTTGCAAATCTGTTCAATAGCTGAATCTTTTCCTAGGATCACGGGGGTAGTAGCTACGGTTTAATAGCCATCTCTTTTAAAAACCAAAACAAGATTAAGTTCGGGAACTGTATTTTATCTCATTATACAATAATTAGTGACACTAGGCAATTATACTTGGATAGAATTGGGGTTTCCATCACTGACCTGTTCTTATTATTTTTATTATGCTGCTATTGCTATTAGAGAATCCAGTGCACAGTCCTTGGAAAAGACACAGGCTTAAGATGTTGTAGATAGGTGTTAGGTTCATTTCTCAGCCCAATCCAAATAATCTTTTTGGAATCAAATCCAAATTGCTATGTAACTTGATTTGCTAACATTGGAAACTCAGAATATTTTTTTTAAATTAAAATCCATGTCCTTAGCAGTCAAAAAAAATGCACTCTAGTTTCTTACTTTTTAAAATGTTAATACTGTGGATAAGACATACATTTTTAGCATAAGGTAAACCTGTGAATAGGGTTCTAGTATTCCAAACCTGCAATTATTTTATAACATCAAAGATATCCAAGAGAAGATCTCACCACTGGGGGAGAGCTGCATTGTCCCTCGGAGTTTAGGGGAATATCCAGCTGTCAGGGGGCTTCCAGGCATCGGGAAATATCCATACTCCTGTCCCATAGTGTAAGGACTTAGGGCCATGCCAGTTGAGGTCCCGAGGGGCAGCAGTTCAGCGTGAGTGGGGCTGATCCGTTCTGTCTTCAACATCTCCAGATACCTGGGGCTGCTCTTGCCATCAGGGGAAAGGTCCTTGGGAGAGGGTGGTGAATGCAGGGTGTGGTAGGAGGACGTGGCAGAGGTGTAGATAGGAAGTCCAGTGTGG